GGTCAATTCAGCTGTTGAAACTTGTTCATGCTTCATGAAGTTCTTGTGTTGTGTTTTTCAGCTCCATCAATTCACTCATATTCCTCTCTGTGTTATCCATTCTTGTTATCATTTCATCAAATCTTTTTTCAAGGTTCTTAGTTTCTTTGCATTGACTTAGAACATGTTCTTTTAGCTCATGGAAGTTTCTCATTACCCACCTTTGAAAGTCTGATTCCGTCATTTCATCACACTCATTCTCCGCCTAGCTTTGTTCCCTTGCTGGTGAGGAGTTGTGATCCCTTGTAGGAAGCAAGGTGTTCTGGTTTCAAGTGTTTTCCTCCTTTTTTCACTGGTTTCTTCCCATCTTTGTGGATTTATCCACCTGTTGTCTGTGTAGTTGCTGATTTTTATATTGGGTCTCTGTGTGGACGTCCAGATTATTGATGATGAAGTATTTCTGTTTCTTAGTTTTCCTTCTAACAGACTGGCCCCTCTGCTTTAGGACTGCTGAGGTCCACTCCATGCCCTGCTTTCCTGGGGGTCACCTGCAGCAGCTGCAGAATGGTTAGAGTTGCTACCAGTTTCTTCTTCTGCTATCTTTGTCCCAGAATGATGCCCGCCAAATGTCAGTCTGATCAGTTCTTTGTGAGGTGACTCTTTGGGTATATGAGGGTCAGGGAGCTGCTTGAGGAGACAGTCTGTTCTTTATAGGAGCTCAAGTGCCAAGCTGGGAGCTCAAGTGCCAAGCTGGGAGCTCCATTGTTCATTCAAAGCTGCTAGGCAGGTACGTTTAAGTATGCTGCAGCAGAACTCATAAACCCCCTTTTTTCCCCAGATGCTCAGTCCTGGGGGGTTAGGGCTTTATTTATGGTATCCGTTGCATTGCTGCCTTTTTTTTTTTTCAGGATGTCCTGCCCAGCAAGGGGGCAGCCTAGTCACTGCCTGTAGAGGTTTTGCTGAGCCTCTGCTGTGGTTCTGCCCTGCTGCTGGCTCTGCCCTGCTGCTATGTGTATTTCCCTGCAGTCCTGTTTATATGGGTGTGTTTAGAACTGCCACGGCAATGTTGGCCCGCCTCTGTAATGGTGGACTCTCTCTGTTATGGCAGGTTGCCTCGGCAATGGCAGGCTGCATCAGCAATAGCAGACTACCTCTGTAGGGGTGGAGTGCCTCGGTAACAGCAAACGCCATTCCCCCACAGAGCTGGGCCATCCCGTTTTTAGCTGTGCTTGCCATGAAACTCTCAACCCGGAGCATTTCTAATTGTTGTTTCTTTGTTTATGTGGGTGTGGGACCTGCTGAGCCTGATCACCTGACTCCCTGCCTCAGAGCTCTTTTTTTTTTTAAGTTGAACAGTTGACTCTCTCCCAGGTGTTCCAGTCACCTGCTGAAAGGGCACTGGGATCTGTGTGATTTCCCGTGCAGTGACCCACTGCGCCAGCTGAAACAACGTGGCCGCCCAGGAATCTCCTGGCCTGCTTTATGTTTCAGTCCCATTTAATCAGATGAAAGGGCTAATCTGCCTTCCTGGATCTTGAATTGCCAGTTTAACAAGGCAACCAGACCAGTGTATTTTGTATGGAGAGCTGCTGTGCTGCAGCACCAGCCAAAACAGCCACGCCAGCTGAAACAGCTGTGCCGGGTGAAATAGCCGCGCCAGCCAAGACAGCTGCTCTGGCGACCCATGGGGCTCCTCCACCTGGGAATCTCCTGGTCTGTGGGCAATAAAAATCCATCTGGAAATGTGGCGTCCACTCATTCTCTGCACTTTCACTGGTAGCTGCAATCCTGAGCTGCTCCTCCTACAGCACCATCTTCCTTCCCTCCCACAGAAACATTGTATTTTTATAATTTGTATAGCTCCTCCAAGGTCACACACCTGAACTGACATTGTAATGGTGATATATCTGAAAGCCCATCTATCTTACCTGTCTGAAAGACCATCAGCTTTCACTTACACCACAATACACAAATCCATCAACTGCACCTTCCACTCAATTGTTGAGCTCTCTTGGGAAATACTTGTCTGTCAACTAAGAAGAATAACTTCGTAAAATATTCCTAGCTTTTCTTGTCAGATAAATGCCTGCTTTATTTGCTTTCCCCTCCCTCCAGGGCTCTCTTGCTTCATATCAAATCAGGGAAAAAAAGGACAAACTGCACAATATAGTGGCATCACTTTGTGCAAAAGTCCAGAAATAGTCTTATTCTAATCCAAAGAACATTACACAACCATTTTGCATATGTGTAGTAGACTCTTCCTGCTTCTGTCTCTGTTGGCTTTAGAAAACATTGCCACCTAATGTAAGTAGTGAATACTAGATTCCATGTAACCTTAGACAAATCACAAGGCTTATCATTATTTTCCTTATCCATAAAGTAAGATAATAACAGCTGCACTACTTACCTCATGGAGTTATCATACACAGGTCCAATGAGATCATGTATGTGGAAACAACTTGTAAACTGTAAATCTCGATTTGAAGTCAAAAGATTACAATTATGATCTGTGAAAACGTTGCTCTTGTGAACAAGCACACACAGGAATTAAGATCATTTTTCTGTTCTGTGGTATAAACAATGAGTTAAAGAATTAAGGGAACCTGATGTCAAAACCTCTCTGCTACTTATAAACTCTGTGGCAGGTCTCTAAGTTTCAGTTGCCTTAAATTTAAAGAGAGGTTAATAATACCTCTCCTTCTGGGATGATGAAATAAGTAAATTAAATAATATTTTGCAAAGGCCTAACCCTGTGCTTCCTCACTCCATTCTCTCTCCAGGCCTGGCTCCTTGAAGCCTGCGAGGATGGACCATTACTTTCTTTTCCTTTTTTTTTTTCAGATAGAGTATCATTCTGTCACCCAGGCTGGAGTGCAGTGGTGTGATCTTGGCTCACTGCAGCCTCTGCCTCCCAGGTTCAAGCGATTCTCCTGCCTCAGTCACCCAAGTAGCTGGGACTACAGGTGCATACCACCATGCCTGGCCAATTTTTTTTTTTTTGTAATTTTAGTAGAGATGGGGTTTTGCCATGTTGGCCAGGCTGGTCTCGAACTCCTGACCTCAGGTGATCTGCCCACTTTGGCCTCCCAAAGTGCTGCAATTATAGGCATGAGGCGATGTGCCCAGCCTATTTTTTCATTTGATTCTTGCAGTATCCCAATTAGATCAGTGAAGCAGATGTTATTATGCTGGTTTTATATGGAACAAACCTAAAAATATTGGCTCTGATTGTGCCATATACTATCTAACACGAATGAATATTGCCTGAGATGCCCAAAAACAGCATGAGTGGATGTCAATTTATCTTTGGAAATAGAATATCTTTCCAAAGATATTCTATTTCCAAAGATATTCAAAGTAGTATCTATTAGATCTGAGCATACACATACCTTATGATCCAAAAGTTCCATTCTTAAGTTTATTTCAAAGAGAAGTTAATGTATTTGTTCACCAAAAGACATGTAATAGAATGTTCTTATTGGCACCGTTTGTAGTAGTTCCAAACCGGAAATTACTGCTAAGTCCATCAATGGTAGAATGCATAAATAAATTGTGGTGTGATCACACAATCAACTTCTATATAGCATTATTAAACTATTACTAAACAATGATTAATCTCCTAAAGATAATATTAAATGAAAGAAGCCAGACACAAATGAATACCTATTGTGATTGCATTTATATAAAGTTTTATATAAACAGGCAAAACTAATCTTTGGTGACAGAAGTCAAGATGGTAGTTACCCTTGGGTTGGGGGTGGGGTGTTAACTGGAAAAGAGCATTAGGGAGAGTTCTGAGGTTCTGGTAATGATCTGTTTATTGACCTGGGTGCTAGTGATGTGGGTGCGATTACATCATGAAAATTCATCAAGCTTACGATTTGTATACTTTTCTGTATGTGTACTATACGTCGGTGAAAAGTTAATTTGCCTTAGGCAAAACAGAAACCCATTATCTTAGGCAAGGTTTTTCAATGGCTTCCCATGGTACTCAGAATAAAATCCAAAGTCCTTACCATGGCCCGCATGGCAATGTATACATGATCTAGCCCCTGGCTACCTTCTCCGCATAATTTCTCCCACCATTATTCCCCTTGCTTACTCAGCTCCAGCCACACGACCTTCTTACGGTTCTGCAAACAGAATAAAACTCCATTCCACTCCAAGGCTGTGTATCTTCTGTTCCCTTTGCCTGGAATGCTCTCCCCTCAGCTTATTACATTGCTGGTCTCATGTCATGCAGGTTAACAGCTCAAATGACGCTTCTTCAAAAAAATCCTTCACTTAACAGGGAATAGATTTATTTCCAGTCACTCTTTATTACATAACACTATTATTTTTTCATAGCATTTATAACTAGCCGAAATTACTTTGTTTATGTATTTATTACTTGTTTATCATCTGTCTTCCTCAATAGAAGGCAAACTCTCTGAAGACTGGGGTCATGTCTGCTGTATTCATCCTTCTATCTTTAATGCCTGATACACTGCCTAGCATGTAGCCAGCATGCAAATAAAAGTTAGGGTTGAATAAATGATTGAAGATCCCTGGGTGAATGGCCCACTAGGCTATTCCTCCCACAAAGGGAGACACTTGAGAAGTTGTAAGTCATCCTGTTAAAAAGAAAGCTTTGTTAGTACAACCTCTCTCGTCCGCCCCACCTCAGCTTGGTGAGGAGAAAGCTCAGAGCTTTCCCCAATGCTTCCATGAACTTTGGCCAGTAAAGACTTACCCTGTGGAAAGTATTTTTAATAAAATGTAATATCATAAGATGAGAGAAATCAGTTGGAACTTAACTTCTATCCCGTATCCCCAGATTATTCAAAGAAAAACACGACATGGTCAATAGGCAGTGGAACTCCTCTCTCCAATGCCATATTCCTGAGAGAACATTGACTTATCATCACTTCGTCTCTGGGACAAGTATTGAACATAGGGAAAGGCTTATGTAAAATTGTTCAATAAACAAAAGATGTCTTTAACATGTGTTTGAGATCTTTCTTCTCATGATTCCATGTTAGGTACAACAACTATGACCGGGCTGTCATCAATACCATTCCTTATGATGTCGTCCATCGTTGGTATACAGCACACCGGACTCTAACGATGGAGTTGAGGAGACCTGAGAATGAGTTTTGGGTCAAACTAAAGCCTGGCAGGGTGGGTCCTAATCTCTAACGATGTCAAGCAAGCCTGTAATACCGAAGCAGTGAAGAAAGGGTACTTACTTAATATGCAAGTCACAATGTTGCAAAGGAAAAAGAGAAAAGAGTTCTTCGTGTTGGTCACGGTCCTGCCACTCACTCACTGAATACCCTGGAAGCGAGATTCATCCCATCTCCAGGCATCAGTAACTCTATTTGTATGATGAGAGGGTTTAACTAGATGACCCCCAAGGGTTCTTCCGCTTCATGATTCCATTTTTATTTTGATATTTCCTCTGGATGAAAGATACCTTCAGCTTATCATAAAATGTAATGAGATAGTTTAACCCTTTGAGAAAGGGTAGAATAACAATTAAAGAGAAAGAAAAAGAAAGAAACCAATTATCCAGTTTGCTTTGATAAAAGAGCAATTACTTGAGAAACAGAAGCTCCTCAAGTACAGGACCTATTACCTACTATTGCTTCTGTAACTTCCATTTAGCGTACTACAGGACTACACACATCTTAGTTTCCAAAAGTTTGTTTAATTTCAAAAGAAAAATGCCTCATTTAATGTAACCAGAGAACAACCTAAAGCTTGTTTTTTAAATAATCTCTTTTAACTTAGGGTTCCTTTGGTCTGCCCTTCTTCTCATAGTGTTTTCTCTCTCTGTTTTTTCTTTTTTTTTCTTTTTTTTTTTTTTGCCCATTCACAGGTCCTATTTATAGACAACTGGCGTGTCCTACATGGCAGGGAATGCTTCACTGGCTACCGCCAACTCTGTGGCTGCTATTTAACAAGAGATGATGTATTAAACACTGCTCGCCTCTTGGGACTTCAGGCTTAAAATTGACAGCATCTGGATTATGAATACACCTGGCACCCTGGCTACCAGAATTTCATATGGGTAGAATGATATTGTGTCAAACTTTACTTCAGATTGTCTGCTTATCTCATCCCACAAAGCAGAGGCTGTCCCTTTCTCTAGTAAGGGGTCTCACAAGTCTTTGTGAGAGAGGGGGGACGCTGAGTTATCTAATGTCAGCCATCTAGTGTGGTAGCTCTCTTTCTCATGTTATAACATGGATCCACTTTTTTTAACCTTTTAATATAATTTTGGTCAATCTCCTTCAGAAATATAATCTCCATATTGATAGGAAAGCAATAATTGCCATGAGGTAAAGATTTTCTTCCCCAAGTAAATCAGTTAGAAAGAAATGCATTCTAGAAATAACAAAATCCTGATAAAGCAGCAATTTGCAAAAATTTTTGGTCTTAGGACACCTTAACAGTCTTAAAAGTTATCAAAGGCCCCAAGGAGTTCTTGGGTGTGTATTCTATCTATTGATACCAATTATTTTAGGTATTAAGACTGATAAATATTTAAAACTCAAGAACACAGAAGCGCACATCCCTCAGCTATCAGAGAGACAACATAATCATATGTTAGGTAGCCTCTGGAAAAGTCCTCTGTACCCTCATGAGGTAATGAGAGGGGAAAGAAAGCTACTGTTGCCTTTGTAACTTCCACTTAGCCTACCACAGGGCTATGCACATCTTGGTTTCCAAAAGGCTGCTTAATTTCAAAAGGAAAATGCCTAATTGAATGTGACTCATCTTGGTGTTACTGTAAAAAGATTTTAATCTGCAGACCCACTAAAAGGGTTTCAGGGACTCCTCCAGGGGTCTTCAGTTTATACTTTGAAAACCCACGGGCTAGCAACCACCTTGAGACAGTCCTTTGCATAGGCCTGTGGATTAAAGTGTTTAGCTGAAACCCTAGATTTGTCTCTAGAGTCTGATAGAACTCCAAACATTGTAAGAATTGCTTGGTAGCACAAGCTCAGTGATAAGGCAGGAACTGAGTTCAAATGTAGCATTTTACCTTCCATACAAATCATCTCTATAGGAGTTAAACTAGGAAGTCACAACAGCTCCTGTTGAACAAACTCACCCGTGTGGTAATTCCTATGAGGAATAATTGCAGAAAGGTTTTAGAGACTTGTGAGGTTTCCTATGATAATTCTTTTTTTATTATTTTACTTTACGTTCTGGGGAACATGTGCAGGTCATGCATGGTTGTTGCATAGGTGCATATTATATCTGGCATTTCTCCCCATGTTATCCCTCCCCACCCTTCCCACACCCTGCTGTCCCTCCCCTAGCCCCCCATCCCCCAACTGCCCCCAGTATGTGATGCTCCTCTCCCTGAGTCCACGTGTTCTCATTGTTCAAACCTGCCAGTGAGTGAGAACATGTGATGTCTGGTTTTCTCTTCTTGTGTCAGTTTGCTGGGAATGATGGTTTCCAGATTCATCCAAGTCCCTACAAAAGACATGAACTCATCATTTTTTGTGGCTGTGCAGTATTCCATGGTGTATATGTGCCACATTTTCTTTGTCCAGTCTATCATCAATGGGCATTTGGGTTGGTTCTAGGTCTTTGCTATTGTAAACAGGGCTGCAATGAACATACGTGTGCATGTGTCTTTATAGTGGAACAATTTATAGTTCTTTGGGTATATACCCAGTAATGGGATTGCTGGGTCAAATGGTATTTCATCAACAGTGTAAAAGTGTTCCTATTTCTCCACATCCTCTCCAGCATCTGTTGTCACCTGACTTTTTAATGATCGCCATTCTAACTGGCGTGAGATGGTATCTCAATATGGTTTTGATTTGCATTTCTCTAATGACCAGTGATGATGAGCATTTTTTATATGTTTGTTGGCCACATAAATGTCTTCTTTTGAAAGGTGCCTGTTCATACCCTTCACCCACTTTTTGATGGGGTTGTTATTTTTCTTGAAATTTGTTTTAGTTCTTAGTAGATTCCAGGTATTAGCCCTTCATCAGATGGGTAGCTTGCAAAATATTTTTCCCATTCTGTTGTTTGCCAGTTCACTCTGATGATTGTTTCTTTTGCTGTGCAGAAGTTCTTAAGTTGGACTCCATTTGTCTGTTTTGGCTTTTGTTGCCATTGCTTTTGGTGATTTAGTCATGAAGTCCTTGCCTATGCCTATGTCCTGAATTATATTGCCTATGTTTTCTTCTAGGGTTTTTATGATGTTAGGTCTTATGTTTAAATCTTTAATCCATCTGGAGCTAATTTTTATATAAGGTGTAAGGGGGGGATCCAGTTTCAGCTTTCTTCACATGGCTAGCCAGTTTTCCCAACACCATTTATTAAACAGGGAATCCTTTCCCCATTGCTTGTTTTTGTCTGGTTTGTCAAAGATCAGATAGTTGAAGATGTGTGGCGTTACTTCTGAGTCCTCTGTTCTGTTCCATTGGTCTATATCTCTTTTTTGGTACCAGTACCATGCTGTTTTGATGACTGTAGGCTGTAGCCTTGTAGTATAGTTTGAAGTCAGATAGCATGATGCCTCCAGCTTTGTTGTTTTTGCTTATGATTGTCTTGGCTATGCAGGCTCTTTTTTTTTTTTTCCTCCATATGAAGTTTAAGGTGGCTTTTTCCAGTTCTGTGAAGAAAGTCAATGGTAGTTTGATGGGGTTAGCATTGACTCTATAAACTACTTTGGGCAGTGTGGCCATTTTCATGATATTGATTCTTCCTATCCATGAGCATGGAATGTTTCTCCATCTGTTTGTGTCCTCTCTTATTTCTTTGAGCAGTGGTTTGTAGTTCTCCTTGAAGAGGTCCTGCATGTCCTTTGTTAGTTATATTCCTAGGTATTTTATTCTCTTTGTAGCAACTGTGAATGGGAGTTCACTCATGATTTGGCTCTCTGTTTGCCTGCTACTGGTGTATAGGAATGCTTGTGATTTTTGCACACTGATTTTGTATCCTGGGACTTTGCTGAAGTTGCTTATCATCTTAAGGAGATTTTCGGCTGAGATGACGGGGTCTTCTAAATAGACAATCATGTCATCTGCAAATAGAGACAACTTGACTTCCTCTTTTCCTAATTGAATACCCTTTATTTCTTTTTCTTACCTGATTGCTCTAGCTAGAACTTCCTATACTATGTTAAATAGAAATGGTGAGAGAGGGCACCCTTGTCTAGTGCCAGTTTTCAAAGAAAACACTTCCAGTCTGAAGTTGAGGCAGCAATTAATAGCCTACCAACCAAAAAAAGTCCAGGTCCAGATGGGTTTACCGCCAAATTCTACCAGACATACAGAGAGGAACTGGTAACATTCCTTCTGAAATTATTCCAAACAGTACATAAAAGAGGGAATCCTTCCTAACTCATTTTATGAGACCAACATCACCCTGATACCAAAACCTGGCAGAGATACAACTTAAAAAAGAAAACCTCAGGCCAATATCCATGATAAACATGGATGCAAAAATCTTCAGTAAAATACTGGCAAACCAAATTGCAACAGCACATCAAAAAGCTTATCCATCAAGATCAAGTAGGCTTCATCCTGGGGATGCAAGGCTGGTTCAACATATGCAAGTCTGTAAATGTAATTCACCACATAAACGGAACCAAAGACAAAAACCACATGATTATCTCAATAGATGCAGAGAAGGCCTTCGACAAAATTCAACGGCCCTTTATGCTAGGAATTTTTAATAAACTAGATATCAATGTTTACCATTTTTGAAGTTTTGCATTAATCGGCCTCGAAGAGTACATCGTTAACTGAGGTCGGCATTGATTTATGGCCAGCAAAGGACATACTCGTGGCCCTGGAGAGATAATGGCACAAAACAAATAAATGTCCCCACTTAGTGAAGGACTCCCCTTACCTTCTGTCTCTCCTGAGACCTTGACTCATTAATTACTTTATCCTCGTTTTTGGAAATTTTCAATCAATCCTTCTCAACAGTGTACTCACTTCATTACATTGAAGAAAAACAGAAGGGAATTATTTGGGTCCTGATCACGATGCACTGAAGACTTCCTATGTGAGATGTTTCTTTTTTTGCATCTCTTCCAGGTGTCCCTGAGTATATAAGAACGGGTCTATGTCTATCAAGTTCACTATAGAGTCACTTTTACCTTTTGCTACGGTGGAATGGGATCTGTAGGGTCAGGAACACAGCACCTAACACAATGCCTTATGGATAGCAGTTTTATAACACAGATTTGTTGGAAGAATAAATGAATGAGTCCTTTTCAAACAAGTTCACCAGAAGTTACCACATTCTCTGTATGTATGCCCTTTTGCATTTGGCATTTAGCTGACACTGACTTTTGTTTGCTTTTATCTAGAGTGACCAACCATCCTCTTGTGCCCAGAACTACAGGACTTTCCATTTTAAAACTAGGAGAGTCCCACACAAACCAGGAGTTCTTCTTCCTGCTAGCTATGTAGTTTTCTTTAGTTTTCATCACTGGTTCCCATTTCTTTGAAAGTGTTTGTAGGTCACAGACTGTGTAGTCTATGATGAAAAGGGAAAATAATGTATGAATTATGGTGTGTTTTGGTGGTTCCCAAAATAGGGTCCTCAGACCACCACCAGCAGCAGTGACATCATTTGAGAACTCCTTAGAAATGCAAACTTTCAAGGCCAACCCCACACCTACTAAGTAAGAAACTCTGAGCATGGGTACCAGCAGTTTGTTTTAGCAAGTCCTCCGCAGGATTCTAACACATGACAAAGTTTGAGAACTACTGACAGGAAGGATCCTGCTGCTGAGTTCTAGGCCTGGTTCTGGCACTGACTCTCTAAATGACTCAAAGCATGTCCCTCTCCTATTTTGAACTTCAATTTTCTCTTCTGTGAAATAAAATCCTTGGACTGGGCAAAGTCTAAAGGCTCTGTCAGTCTGTAATTGTGCGACTTTGGTAACTTTGACTTCTCATTGCTTACGTTTTCTCATATGGGCATGGTAAGGAGTATACCTACCTCACAGGATTTTCTAACAATTTTTTGTGATTAAGTAAGATGTTCACAGCACATACTGATGACTAATCATG